GTTGGATTTACCAGTAACAGAGGAAGCATGTTTTTGTGGTGTCATAAGGCATGTGGAATTAGTAGTAAGCGGTGAATCAGCTACGCTTGACACAGCACCAGTCATAGACTTATTAGCTGATGAGTTTTTCGCCAATGGAGTTTGAGAAGAGAAATTGTTAGCTGCTGTATCAACTTGTGGGATCCTATTAGTCTCTGATCCAAGTAAAGAGGAAAAAAGATAAGTTTAACGATACAAGAGCTTCAACCAAATGTTATACACATGTAAGGATGCATACACAGACATACCATTTACTGTTGGGTTGGGTTGTGCCGTAGCAATTCGAGCTTTCTTAGCCACTGGAGGAGCTCCTATAGAAGCTTCATGACCCTTTCGTTTTCCGGTTATAGGCTGATGACTGGTCGAAGGTGTGGGAAAGTTCCCACAACGTACTCTTTTGTTACCCAACAGAGATACTGACATAGCATTGGGTGTATTGTCCTGTGTGCAACCTTGAAAAGCAAAGAGACATGATTAGTTCAAAGATGTGTAAAGCCGGATGCGTCAGCCAGACAAATTTCAGAACATCAAACTGATATGTAATAGCTTGCAAATAAGTTTTCAGATGACAGTTTATGTGCCTAAAAGTATGTTTCATCTCAGTACACACTTGCAAAATTGAGAATCTTTCAGTCATTCCAACTCAGAACAGCGTAATGCATCAAACTGATATGTAATAGCTAGCAAACAAGTTTTCTGCAGTCACAGTTTTATGTGCCTAAGTGGGTTGCATCTCAGTGACAATCTTTCAATCATATTCCAATACAGAACAGCCAGATGCAACTAAAACAGTAAAATGCCCAAAATAAACTCTGAATACCTGAAGAGATGGTGTGGCTTTTCTGTTGAGAAGCCAGAGGAGGAGGAGGAGGAGGAGAGGTCAAGCTGGAGTTGTAAGTGTTCATCACATTCTGCATCCCTTGCAACAGATTCTGAACTCTATTCTTCTCCTTTTCTAATATCACTTTCTCATGATCCAACGTTACCTTTTGCTCTCTTAGAGATACGTAATCTTTCAAAATATCCTCAAGTGTCAAATAACTCTTCAGAACCTACGAACCAAAAAAAAAAACGCATAAGCGACACAAAAAAAAACAACGAAAGAAGAACGAAATGAGAAAAACTTCGTGGGCTTACATCGCAAACTGGGGAATTGGAGAGGAGAGACGAAGCTTCGGATCTGAAAAGTGTTCGGGTTTTAGAGAATCGATTGTCGAGGAGGTAACGATCGACGATGAAAGCAATTTGCGTCGGAGTAATAACCCCTTTCCCAATGTTAGCCGATCTGCTGGATTTCGCCATCTCGATGTAATCGAAAACCCTAACTGAGATGAAGCGGAAGCGAAATAGAGAGAGTGTGAAGTGGGGGAAGATCTGAAGGAGGAGGGTTTTTAGTAAGAGAGTAGGAGCGGGAGACTTTCGAATTAAACGCTTTGGAGCGGTCGTTTTGATAAATTTTGCCGGGGTATTATTCGCGTCAATTTGTGGCGGTAAATGTTTCCAAAGTAAATAACTGAAGATACTCTTCGACTGTTATTAAATGTTTTCTTTTTCACTATTATATAGTACTACTAGAGATTTGCGCGTGGATTCATTTTTAATAAATTCCAGTATCAATTATAGTAAATCTATATTTTATTAATTAATTTTTATTACAAATCATATAATCTGATTAATAAATAATATGAAAGAGTTCAGATTTTTTTAAAATTACAACTATAAGTATATCAACCAAATAATTAATAGAATTCTAAAGTATATGTGTATACTAGGTGTTTTACCCGCACATGCGTACTTAATTATCTTTTAATCAATTTAAAAATCATCAAAATAAATAATTATTTGCATACAAAAAATTTGACCGAAAACATTAAACTTTTCTACATGATAAAGTTATTCAAAAATTAAAAAAAAAACTATTTTTTTCCTTTAAAACTTTGAAAAATCTAAAGTCTATTTCATTTCTTCTTAATTGATAAAAAAAATATAGAAATATATCTTTCCATTTGAAAAATTGAATCGATAAATATAATTTCAAAAATTAATCGTACAAAAAGAATAATATTAGTTTAGATAATAATACAATAATACAATAAATTTGAATTTATTTTTATCAAACACATATTTTCTTTCTTTTTTAATGATCTTTTATTTTATATGACTAATTCATGTTTAAGGTTTAACTATATAAAAAATAAATATAAATTTAATTTAACGTGTGAGTTCACAAAAATAACTTCACAAATATATACATATATCATTATATTATTATATTCTTTTAATAAATAATTTCGTATTATATTTTTCAATTTTCTCTTTTGAATTATATACAACTAAAATTGTTAGTTTATGAATACTTAGTTATGTGTTTTTTTGAATTTTTTTAATTAAATTTATTTTCCGGATAACAACACAGTATATATAAGAATTATCTTTTTCTTTTAAATATATATTTAGATTATGGATAATTCTTATAGTTATTATAATTTAAATCATTTATCTAATCAAATAAGTATTAAATTCGTTTTTATTTTTGGCTAATTTCTATATTTTATTCATTAATGGTATAATCGACAATAACCACTCCAATTTTTAACGTGAGAGTTCCATTGCGAAAAATCACTTCGCAAATAATAGTATAGATATAGTAAAATTCAAAGAAAACACTAACATATATAAAATTTAACACTCTACATTTATGGATGAGAATTATATAATCATTAAACTATTTACCGAGCAACATAATCCAACATAAACTTAGTTCTACCCCCTCAATATTAAACTAAAAAATAAAACCAAATGTTATAGTATTTTTGATAGAGTGTATTTTTGAAAATGATATCCTACTTAGTGTGTCTTAAACAAATTTTCTTTACTCTTCCATTCTCTTATTAGACAGAAATTAATGTTCTTAATACCCAATTAAGAACTTCAACATTGTCGTTGTTGATTGAAATTGGTTCGGTTTGTTGTTCAATAAATTTTGTAGAACTTCAACAATTTTTTTTTTAAGATTCTGTTCTCAGTTAGGTGAAACTGGAAATAGGATATCTTTTATGTAATATCAATTCTTTTTGTGAATTTCTTAGCAAATTTTGTGATATTTTCCCGAAAATCAGTGAAAAGTATTTTCATTCACAATAGTAATTAAACATTTAAAATTAATAATTTCATAATTTATTTGTCCCTGTTTGTAAAATACACTCTAGATATTTTTAATTTAAAAACTACACCATGATAAAAAAAAATTGGGAACCTATTTTAATAATATCAATTAGCTGAAATAATTTTCTATTCCTAAACAATAATTGATACATCTATTATTTCTTAAAGTAAATTTAATTTCTGTGTAGTACTGAAAATAAGGCTTGATACTCATGTTATTCTGAAATTTAGAGTCCATAATTGTGTAAAATTTTAGTAAACATTACTATTACTATGATGTTTGTAAAGTTTTTAGGTATACATAATATAAAGTATTAAAATAGTTTGAAAGCAATAAACCAATAACTATTCAAAAAAACTAATATAGAGTTTTGCACCATCCCCACCAAATTTTGAAGCTTCGGTTCCTACACTTCCTCCAAATGGACCACTATCTTCAAAGTTACCAAAGGAAACCGTTTGTTGACTAAGTAAGTCAACAAACTTTGAAGTTCCAGTGGAAGGAAAAGAATCCATATCACAAAGAAAAGAAAAGGAAAAAGGTAAAAGAGAGAGAGAGACTGAAATGGTTTGAACAAGAAGATAGGTGAGAAACATAGAACGCGTTGGAGGGTTAAATGGATGCTAGAGAAGGATCAAGTATTGATCACAACCATAACCGAGTTGACATCTACCTAATTGCATTCATCACACAACACTATCGAGTTGACATCTACCTAATTGCATTCATCACACAACACTATTGTCACACATTTAGCTGAGATCTACCTAGTAGAATTCATTTCAGTCTTAACCATAAACTGTATTTATTATCTAACCTAACACAAACTATAATTAAAGTCTCGTTACTACAAGAGTGAAGACAGATGGAATAAACAAACACACAAGAGTTGTAAATTTAAACAAACACACAAGATTTGTGAATTTAAACAAACAGCAAACATGTATAATAACCCGAACTCAACCAAATAATTATTGAAATGTTTTTGTCCTAACAAGAACCATTACACATGTTCAATCTTAAGAAAAGAAACCATAACCATACGAAACTAATTACCAACATCAGAATTTAATGTTACTTAAGCTAAACAACACCAAATTCTAACTTGATATAATAATATTCTAAAACCAGGTGATTATATTCTACTTCACTCAACGAGATTGTGATTATCACTAGTTCAAAAATCATTTCAAACAAGAATTCAAATCATCACCATTAGCAACTTAAATCACAATCACATTTCAATCTCAATCCACTACAACAGAACGAAACGTTTATACATCTATAAAGATCAAAGAGAAAGTACCTTTAAAATCTTGGCGGTTTTATCTGACAAGTCCTCAGGCTTTCTCACCACTTCACGCCTCTACATCAACCCTGGATCAAGCTCCTTGATCCATCCATGTAGCGACACAAACACAGAAAACAAATAAAGGAAAAATTATCAACACTTTACCTTGAGAAAACTAAAATCAAAGACATGTAACAATCAAAGAGAAAGGAATCAAGAGACCCATCACGAGAGAGAGCCGTTTGCTTTCGTCGAGGGACACAAATCAAGATCCACCAAGGGAGAGAGGAATCGGGATCCACCAACAGAGAGAGGAATCAAGAGAGAACCCAGACGGAGAGGAATCTACAGAGAACCGAGACAGAGAGAAAGGAAAGGATCCACCGAGACGGCGATGATTCGAGATCCACCAAGATGGCGAAAAAATCGCCCTTTTCGTCGCAAGCAGAGAACATCGGAGAAGAGAAAGAAAATAGAGAAAGAAACAAAACCATGCTTGCACCGAGCTTCAAACCCCTCCCCTTCTGACGCGTGGCACTAAGTAACCCTCTTCTTTATCCCTTAATTAAGACATGTGCCTTTGCTTTAATCCATGTTTTCCTTTTTTTTTAATTAATTATGCTAAGGGACAGGCTTAACAAACGCCTATAAACATGCTCTTAAGGGGATCCATGTCGATTCAGTTCTTTTTCTGTGTGGATATTTGAACTTTAATTAGTTTGGATTCATCCATTGAAAAAATAAAAAACATAAAATACAAATAACATTGAGATTGTTTGCCAGATTCTTTGTTTTGTTTTTTTCCTGCTTTTCAAGAGTTTTTATGCATCAAAGAGATAAAGTTGTAAAGTAATTGGTTTTTAATAAAATTTGACAATTTACTTGACTTTTAATTAGAAAGATGTTGACCGGTACGACCGTACATGTATTAATTTTCACTTTTTCAGATTTTGTTTTTTGCATAAATTATATAATTTGAACTTATAGTTTACACATACCATATAATTGTTTAGTATAATAATTTTAAACATAGTAATTCTATTTATTACACTAAGTGATTATAATTTATTTTGTAATAGTCAATTGTATCATCTATATTTTTATTATATAAATTTTTTGTATTCAATTTCAGTTGACTTTTATTTATATGAAACTAACAGAATAATTTATATTTTAATTTATATATTATATAAATGATTATTTTATGTGTGTTTTTACTTTTTAGTTATTACTAATAAATATGAAAAATATAAAAATATAATTTAAAAGAATATTGTGTTCTAAATTTAGTACACAAATACCTAAATGTTTATGTGGCTTGGACAGGTTATTTTATGTTTATGTGAATTGCCAAAACCAACCCAAATATTCCTTTTAACTCTAAAGGTGTACCCCATATTCAATCAATTGCAAACCCAACCTAAATGAGTGTTAAAATTACTATTTAACCCTTATGAACAAACAAGAAACGTGGAATATATTTTACGATTATGTCCTTCGTAGGTCTACACTTTAAGAAAGAAGTCTACAACTAGGTAGACTTACATTAACGTCTACTGTGTAGACTAGTGTAGACTTATTATTTAGTCTACATCTTAATTTAATCAAATAATTTAATTTTAAAAATGTAGAAAAAATATTTTTGGTAAATTTTTTAATAAATCATCAATTTAAAGGTTAGTATGAGGTATATAAATTAAATTTTCTTATAATTGAACAATTTAAAAGAATGTATATTGATTTGGGAACTATGTTGTAGACAATGTTAATGGTTTAGCAACCAAATGTTCTAACATGTTATGTCTTTTAAAGTTAGATTCTTAGGTTAGATTCTAGATTTAGAATTATTTTGTTTTAATGATTCAAAATTGCATATTTAATGTTGAGTAGTTTATATTTTGTATATATGATATTTGATACAATGACTAAGATTTTTTTTATAATCAATCAAAAGTTTAGGGTTTGAGATTTGAGGTTTAGGGTTTGAGATTTCTGGTTTAGGGGTATAGTAGACTTACAATTAAGTCTACTTATATGTAGACGTCTATTTCAGTCTACGTTAATTTGTGTTTACCAAAATAAATTATTTTAAAATTAAAATTAACTAAGCGAGAAGTGTAAATGAATTTTGGAGCCTATTTTTTCATATTGGCGCCAATATTTAGGGTATAGTAGATTTACAGTAAAGTCTACTTATATGTAGACGTCTATTTCAGTCTACGTTAATTTGTGTTTACCAAAATAAATTATTTTAAAATTAAAATTAACTAAGCAGGAAGTGAAAATGAAATTTGGAGCTTATTTTTCCATATTGGCGCCAATATTTAAGGTATAGTAGACTTACAGTAAAGTCTACTTATATGTAGACGTCTATTTCAGTCTACATTAACCAATTTAACCTAACCGAAAAAATTACACAGCATATAAATATTTTTTTTAGGGTTTTCTGGTAAAAAGAATCCTAATCACGCCGTTTAGATCTGAGGCGGTTTAGGGGGCGATTTCCGGTGAGATTTCTGGCGAACCCTCTTCGACTCTGTTTTCACACCCAGTCACCTTCCTCTCAGAATCACCATTCACCACCACGACCATCACCACTATCATCTTTTAGAATCTTTTTAAATAGATTTCCGCAAATTGGTTAATTTTAATCATCATAAGTATACTTAAAATTAAAATTTAATTAGTTTTCTTCTCTTAGAATCTTCTAAATAGATTTACGAAAATAAATTTTGATGTTTGAACAGTGTCTGAAAACAAAATATCTTTGTAAGTCCAATTTAATTCAATTTTCTTATTCACATTTAATAATAAAAATATGTAAATAGTATTGTTATATAATAATGTTTTATAAATGAATGCTTTACAAAATACAAAATTATAAAATTTTATAGTAATAATATTATTAGCTCCACAAACATTACTATAAACTAGATCATATATAACTTAAATTTTATTTTTAATTAATTAAATCTAAAACATTGTAATATATAGTGCGGGTCAAGATCTAGTACATTATTAATTTGTGTGATCTTAAAATTTCAACTATTTAAAAATAGAGGAAATATAAAACAAGAATAAAAATGAAGCATTTTTTTGGGTTTACGGAATATGACTAAGATCAGTTAATTTCAGCTAATGAAACGTCTAACCAGCCAATACAACCTCTAATCTTCAGTTTTATATATTTCAATGAGAAATAGCTATGAAAAATATATTCGAATAGCATTAAACCAAGTTTTTTAAAGCAATAGCGAATAGTTTTTTCTAATATAGCATTTATTAAAAGTAAAAAATAAATATAATTACAATTTTGGATTTAATATTTAGTGTTTAAATTTTTAAATTTAGTATTCAAAAAGGTGTAATTAGGGTTAAATTTTTATGATACATGGTAATTTAGTGTTTAATTTTATTGATTAGAGCATCTCCAAAAAGACACTCTATTTTAGAGTTTGCAAAACTCTATTTTTTAAGTTTCAATGTGTTATTCTCCAAAAATAAAACTTCAAATCTAACTTTAAAACTATTTGTATTTTACTCAACGGTCCTTATATTTTTGTCATATTTAATACAAACTCATAATTTTCTATGAAAAACATAACATTACTATTAATTAAAAATATTTACTCTAAAATATAAAACTGTAAATATAAATACATAACTAAATAATAAAATACAAACAAAAATATCACATTATTTCATAGTTATTTTCATAATGCTTCATCTTAGTTACACAATACTTATTTTGATAATATTTTGGAGATTTTGAAGGTTTTAGAGAAAATTAACTATACTATTAGTATTGTTGTAATATTTAAATTTATGTAATAAGTATGATTTTCATGTACCTTTTTAAAAAGTTTTTTTAAAAGTTTATTTTGTAATATTCATGAAGTCTAGTTTTAGTTTTAAAATAAGATAAATTTTATTTTAAAGTTTTATGTCTAAAACTTAAATTTATAAAAAAAAAACTGAAATATTTATAAAATAGAATTTCCAACAAAATATTAAAAAATCATAAATATAATACATAATTAATTATAAGGACCAAAATACAAATAAAAAGATGAAACTTCAAATTTGAAATTTTAGGAATTGAAACTTCAAATATGAAGTTTCACTCCTCAAAACTCTATATTTTGTATTATAGAATGTCTTTTGGAGATGCTCTTAATACATACTATTCTGAATCTCTATTATTTTAGCAACAACAAAATTAATGTTATTTTGCGTTAAGAACTTAAATAATGTATTTATCATATTTTGATTCAACTTCCTTTTAAGTAATTTAAAATAGAAGAAAATAAAACTAGCATTTGCCAAGAACAAAACAATGTTTAACATATTTTAAACGTTAATTATGCATTTCAGAGTAATTGATATTTAGTTATGAAAGATGAAAATAAGGCAAAAATAAAATAAGACGAGGACAAAAATGAAGCATTTTTGGTGTTTACTACGGTGACAAGTGGCAACAAAGAAAGCATCAAATGCCGAAACAAGGTGAGAAAAGTCGCTTTCGCATTCTCCAAATGCTTCTCTGTTTCTTTCTTTCTTTCTATCTCTCTGGCACCCACTAGGCCACTACACACTTTACTCTCCATCAAGAGATCTCATCTCCCACTTCAAACCCTAAGAAAAATCAATCAAAGCTTGCTCCTTTAATGGCGAGCTCCATTCTCCCCATGTCATCCCTCGTTCTCCTCCTGGCTTTGACCTCACTCTTCTCAAGAATCTCCATATCTGAAGCTTCATCTTCCTTCTCGTTCACAAGATACGATAAAAACGCGAGCTTTATCTCCGACGACATTTCCCTCTACGGCGACGCAAAGCTCTTAGATGGCGGAGCTTCGATTCAGCTGACTGACTCAGTGAGCCACATCGGCGGTGGAGTCCTCTACAAGAAACCCATCGAGTCCAAAGACACTAACGCGGACTACTTCACGGGGTTCTCTACTGTCTTCTCTTTCTCCATGCCACCTGGTCGTGGTGGGAGTGTAGGTCTTGTCGTGTTTCCTTCTAACGGAACGTTTGATCACTCTCTCTTCGAAGTCAAGTTCGATATCTCTGATAATTTCAGCAAGCTTAGAGATCCCAATGTCACGGTTGGTGTATATGGTTCTACGGTTACTGAGAAGATAACCAATCTCACAGTTGTAAACTCCGAGGAAGAGGAGATGTTGTTGTACGTCTGGATTAATTACCAAGCGAATATCAGGTACTTGGATGCTTCCTTAACCAATTCAAAACAGTATAAATATCCACAGACTCGGTTCGGTTCTCGGGTTGATTCGTTGAAAGACGAGGATGAGTTTATGGTGGGTGTTAAGTCGTATAACGGGAACTTTAGCCTCCATTCTTGGAGATTACAAGCGGGACACTTCTCTAGGAGTATGCACTCGTATGCGGCGCTTCTTGAGTCAAAGCGTAGATGGGAGGAGGAGGTGGAGAAGAGGAGAAGAGAGAAGATGCGGGGGACTGTGACTTGCTTCGTCATGACCTTTGGATCTATAGGGCTTGTGTTCTTTGCTGGTATGCGTATATGGGCAGCTTTCAAAAGGAACTATCTTGTGGTGGTGGTGGGGCCTGAGGAATGTGGGCAGAAGACAAAGGAGTTCGAGTACGAGAAGATGGAGAAAATNAGGTGGAGAAGAGGAGAAGAGAGAAGATGCGGGGGACTGTGACTTGCTTCGTCATGACCTTTGGATCTATAGGGCTTGTGTTCTTTGCTGGTATGCGTATATGGGCAGCTTTCAAAAGGAACTATCTTGTGGTGGTGGTGGGGCCTGAGGAATGTGGGCAGAAGACAAAGGAGTTCGAGTACGAGAAGATGGAGAAAATGGAAGTTGTGATGAGTAAACCTGAGGCGCAACAAGGAAAGTGAAGTCAAGTCGAACCTGGTGATGCTCGTGTCGTGTGTTTAGAATATGTTCTATTTATGTAATAAAGTAGATCTCTTGAAGTACAATGGTGACTAGTAAGTAGTAATCCACGAGGTTCCTCATGTATGTAAGCTTGCAGTATTGTTACTCTTTCGCATGTAAAATCCACCGCAAAAGATAAATATTTAAATTAATCCACGACACGCTTCAGAACTGACTGGTTTCTTGTTCATGTGTGACTTCGATCATAAAACAGAACACCTGCCTCTGTTGAGCTTAGCTTTAAAGAGTTGCATCTCATACAATGCAATAAACTCTTTTCAAAGCCATAAAATGATCCAAAAAGTTGGGAGGGCTTATTTTTTTTGACTTGAATGTTCCATTACCACTATGGAGATCACGAAATGGGACTAGGAAGTTGGTCAAGAAAGCATGGAAAGAAGAAAACATTACTGAAGTTTCACAGCAAGAGCTTGAGGTTTTACGTGATGAAGCGTACTATGAGAGTATAAGAAACTACTCACCACAATACGTAGTTGAAGATTTTGAGCAGACAAAGAACCGGAGAGACATTACCATTACACATTAGAGAAAGTAAAGCCATTGTGCATGGCACTCAGGGAACGGCTCAAACATTCAATGGGCTTTAGGATAAAAACCATTTAAGACTTTTTTTTCTTTATAAATTTCTTTTCCAAAAAAATAGGCCTTTTGATAAGCTAAAAAAAAGTCAAAAAACACAATAGACTCTTTGCAAATGCACATCCAGCACAGGGCCAGGACCGGGCCTGATGGCATGACTAGCTGAAGTTATTGGTTGTCACTTGTGGAATACTTGGACTTCATAAATGAAACGTCTACAAACATATAAAAATATGGATACACTTTTATCTAGGGCTGGATATCCTTACTCTTCATTCAATTTAAATTCTCTACTTGATTCATATCCATTTTGAAAAGTTAAATTACTTGGCATTGTCAAGTCAAACAATAAGTCGAGAGAAATTCCATTATTTACAAGTTAATCGAGTATCAAGACTCATTATTTATTTTAATATCTGATTCTTTACTTGCATTATCAACTAGTTACATGCTCTATTAAATACTTGTTATTTACTAATAATATTTGTCTTTTTTTTTCTTGTTTTTAAGGCTGAACACAAGAATTGATTACTTATCTTATGCTTGTTAAAACCCTCAAGTGGTTGTTAAGTGGTCTCTAGTGAATTTTTAACTATTAAAATTAAGATAAGAGATTTTGTCAAAAGACACTTAATAATAATGATTTATTGGTAATTTTTTAATAAAGGTCCTTAACAATATAAAATATTAAATTTAATTTTAAACATAAAATTTTATACAAAGATTAAATTTATTTATTAAATAAAAAAAGTCAAACATAACATTTTAAACATAGATTTAAACATAAAAACATAAAAATAAGTACTAGTAAAATAAACGATAATAATTTAAAAGAGGCATCGAGGCTCAGTTATTGTCTTAATTACGTCTGAATTTACGTCATATATGTTCAACCAAATCAAATTTTAATTGTTGATGCGCTTGTATATCATGAATTCTTGTTCGAACACCCATCTGATTGGCGGGTATTTGTAGGGATATCTGTAGAATAGGTGAGATCGACATTTGAACTTCCGCTGCCTTCTCCTGATTGGAAATCCGAAACATCAAATTGAGTGAATTCATCTCGTTCATCTTCTACTATCATATAATGGAATATGCTACATGCTCGCATAATCTTCTCAATTTTGACTTTATCCCAAGAAAGTATTGGATTTTTTAACAATGGCAAATAGATCTTGCAAAACTCCGAAAGCACGCTCGACATCTTTTCAGATAGCTTCTTGATGTTGCGCAAATACAACTGCTTTCGGCCCTTGTGGAATTGGAATAGATTGGACAAAAGTTTCCCATTTTCGATAAATACCATATGTGAGATAGTAAGTCAAATGGTACTCTTTTCCATTGACCGAGAAGTTCACTTGCGGGGCTTGACCATTTACTATGTCATCAAAAACAGGTGAACGATCAAGAACATTAATATCATTTAAGGTACCTGGAGGTCCAAAAAATGCATGTCATATCGAGAGATCATATGAAACAATCGCCTCTACGATTCTGAGTTTTTCCGAACCACGAGATATTGTCCTTTCTAAGCGCTGGGGCAATTCTCCCACTCCCAATGCATACAACAGATGCTTCCTATCATCCTGGAAAATCCATGAAAGGTCTCCAATATGAAGTAGACGTTGAAGATCATCCGGTGTTGGTTTTCTTAGATACTCATCGCCGAACAAATTTATTATTGCTTACAAAATTTTCCACACATAACCGAGTAGTGGTTGCACCGAGCCTAAGGTATTCGTCGAACACATCAAGCGCATAACCATATGCCAACACACAAATAACTGTTGTACACTTTTGAAGTGTAGAGGACCAAGTTTTCAGATACCATCTTTCTTTTGACGAAAGAATTTAACTTCATTGGAGAGGCGATCAACAATATGCATGAACAATGGATTGTTCATTCTAAATCATCGTCGGAATAGGTTCTCTGGATATGTTGGAGTCTTAACGAAATAATCATTCCATAACCGGAGATGGCCTTATTCGCGATTTCATTTGTTGAAAACTCTTTATTTCCTTGTCATCCTTTCATCTTCTTGATCACCATAAACATTTCACAAATTCTCAAATGTTTGATTGAAATGTTGATCAAACATTTCATCAAAAATTTCATCAAGTGACCCTTCCAAATTGTGACGTGAAGAAGATGCTATGAGAGATTTGTTTTATAATCTTGTTTTCGAAAGAAGAGATGACCAAGTTTTTTTTTTATAAAAGAAAATAGGGAAATTGTTTTAGATTTTTGGTTACATGTAGAATTGTTTTTATGAAAGAAAAGCTGAAGAGAATTGAGAGAAGAACATGAGATTTTGGAGAAATGTTTTCGATAAATAATGGAGATAATGCTGAGAATACAAACCAATTTATAAGTGTGTATGATGCAAAATTTGACAACAACAAACTTGTGACCGCTGTCTTTTACAAGAACCAACCCGTGAAACAAGATTATAAAACTACAAAGACAACAAGTTAGCCTTCCTTACACATTCTCGTTTAGTACAAACCCTAAGATGAATATGATTGATGATTCCAAGAAAGTTCTCGATAGGATGAGAAGTAAAGGGTTTAGTCCTGATATTGTGACTTACAATATAATGATTGGTAGTTTGTGTAGTAGAGGGAAGCTTGATCTTGCTTTAAAGGTTTTAGATCAGTTGCTTGGTGATAATTGTCAGCCTACTGTGATTACTTACACAATTTTGGTCGAAGCGACGATGCTTGACGGTTGTGTTGATGAAGCCTTGAAGCTGTTGAATGAGATGTTGTCTAGAGGGTTGAAACCTGATATGTTTACTTACAACACAATCATCAGAGGGATGTGTAAAGAAGGGATGGTGGAGCGTGCTTTTGAGATGATTAAGAGCTTGAAACTGAAAAGGTTGTGAGCCTGATGTTATCTCTTACAACATCTTGCTTAGAGCGCTATTGAATCAAGGGAAATGGGAAGAAGGAGAGAAGTTGATGAGTAAGATGTTCTCTGAGAAGTGTGAGCCTAATGTTGTGACTTATAGCATTCTGATTACTACTCTATGCCGCGATGGAAAGATCGGTAAAGCGTTGAATCTCCTTACGCTTATGAAGAAGAAAGGGTTAGACGCCTGATGCTTATAGCTACGACCCTTTGATCACTGCATTTTGTAGAGAAGGTAGGTTAGATTTAGCTATCAAGTTCTTGGAGACTATGATCTCTGATGGATGTTTACTGGACGTAGTGAACTACAACACTGTTAGCTACATTGTGCAAGAACGGAAAAGCGGATCAAGCGTTGGAGATATTCGGGAATCTAGGCGAAGTAGGCTGCTCGCCGAAATCTAGCTCTTACAACACGATGTTCAGCGCTCTGTGGAGCAGCAGAGAAAATATCAGGGTGTTACAAATGATATCAGAGATGTTGAGCGACGGAGTCGACCAGATGAGATCACTTATAACTCGATGATCTCGTGACTATGCAGAGAAGGGATGGTTGATGAAGCTTTTGAGTTGTTGGTTGATATGAGAAGCTGTGAGTTTTATCCATCAGTTGTTACTTACAAGATTGTTCTTTTGGGATACTCATAGGATTGAAGATGTTATTGATGTTCTTGAATCAATGTGGAGAATGGGTGTAGGCCTAATGAAACTACTTATACAATGCTTATTGAAGGGATTGGATTTGCTGGATATAGAGCTGAAGCTATGGAGTTAGCTAATGATTTGGTTCGGATTGATGCTATTTCTGAGTATTCGTTTAAGAGATTACATAAGACTTTCCCTTTAGTTAATGTTTTACAAAGATTTTCTCAGACATTTTGTCATTAGGATAAACAACAAACACATTATGTTAGCGATTTTAAATTGTTCAAATGAATAAGAAACATATGATAAACTATGGCTCTGTTCGTTACAGATAGCTCCGTTTGTAGATTGTTGCGGCTGCAATCTCCTCTTTTAATTTTAATAAAGTTGATAATTAAATATATATACATATATATATATATATTTCTAAATAGCTGTAAAATGTTATTAATAAATTTTTAAGATTTATATGTGTGAAGAAATCAAAAATTATATAGAATTACATCAAAGATTAGAAAATACAGCATATTTTAAAATAAAACATAATTAATATATTTGATTATTTTAATATTTTTATTTATAAGTATACATATCTTATATAAGTAAGAACCTATAATTATATTGTTTGTTTCTATTAACAATGAAATTATTGTTATATTTTCTTAACTCTTAGTATATTTGTGATGAGATTTAGTTATATGATATCTAAAACCACATTTAAATTGTATGCAATATATATTATAAACACTAAATAACATAATATAATAAAATTTATATAAATAAAATTTTAAAAATAATAATTAATATGTATACAATAAAATTATATATTTTATCTTATAGTAAATATGTTTTAAAATAAAAAATATAAATAAGAAAATTTTTGTAAACTAATATTTTATAAACTAATAAAACTTTTAAGTCTCAAAAATATTAATTATTGAGATTCTATTGTATATAGATCGAGAGACCAACTAATTTGGTTATCGAAACATGCCTATTTATTTAATCAAATTTTTGTAATGTTTATTTTGCATTATTATTGATAAGAAAAAAAACAATTATGGTTGATAATGAATATAATATTCATTGTACAAATACTAAATTTTTCTAAATATTGTTTTGCTTATATACTGTTTTAGCATTTAGATTCATCAAATTTGAATATAATAATTATTTACTGCATGAAGATGGATGCTAGGAAAGTAGGAAACAAAAAATCAAAAAATAGGTTATATACAATATGTGAGTCACCGGCCATATGTATATATTGTTGATCATGATAAACTATGTGACCTTAAACTTTTAGAAGTGGTAGCATGATAAAATAATTGTAAAGGTTTTCCTTACAAACAAGTCACACATAAGACATAATAATATTGGTAAAATCAATAAAGTTTGTAATGTCATATGAACTGAAATAAGTAATTGACCAAATGGGTAATCAGTCAAGCCGACCACTGTTTCTCTATCCCAAATTGTCTCTTAATATGCACTATTTAAGTTGATTAATATTCTATAAAATAATTCATCTTCATAATCATCCAATCTCACTGATAACACATCAAATTCATATTCCAATAGTTTTTCGTCAATCTCTTTTTCATGGTCATAATTTTATAAACATAAAAAAAAATTCACAAAATCATTAGTTCCAAATGTCAAACAAACAACAATATTATGACAAATAATTTAACTCAATTGATAAATATATCATATTCCGCCTGTTGTTGTTCAAAAAAGAAAATCATATTCCGCCTGTAGGGTGTACTAACCACTAGTTAGTAATTGATTTGAAAGATATTAAAAATTGAAAACGAATAAATAATATAACCTTAATGAAGTGTGACAGTGAGACACACAAACAAGTGTATTATATATAAAAGCGTTGGTAAATTGGGCCCATCACCTTTTTCCTTACGTAGGAAAGAGAGGGACGATCTTTACTAGTAAAACTGAAACGGCTGTGGAAGCCAAGTTGCGTAGCCGTAATCTTCCTTCGTCACTGTTCTCGAGATTCTCCCTCTGTTGGATTTCGATTCCTCCTCTCTCTCTCTCTCTCTTTCTTTCCTTTTGCATTTCTCGGATTAAGCTTTTTCTGGATCGAAGAAGAATGGTAGCTGATAGCAAATCCGACCTTTCATTGCCCAAAACCTTCGCCTGCAGTGCCTTCGCTGCCTGCGTCGGCGAGGTAATTCCCAGATTTTTTTTTGTTTTCATTCTAATATCGCTGCGTATGCTTAGATTCTACGCGCAACTGTATAGCGAATTTTCATAAAAATGATCTGAATTCTTATCAAGTTTGATCGTCATGTGTCATCGTATAGCTAGAGCATCGTGTTCTTAGATTCGATAATACTTCATGTTTAGTTTTGATGGAATCGATTCGGTTTCTTGAATCATCATATCCATGTACACGAATACGATTAACCGGTCAGATCTGTGGGTCGAATTATGTTGGATTAAGATGTTAATTATGCTTTTGAGGATATGCGTAACTCTGAAAGGAATATGAAAAATTCCATGATGGAATTGATTGGAGCTTTGTATTTAATACTATATGTGAATGTTATTGGAAGACACAAGGACGGGTCTATAGATATCGAGAAGAAACAAAATCTAGACAAATATAGGAGAATAGGAAATTTACCATAGCCTTTATACGGTTGATGTTTTTTTAAAAATTTCTTATGCAATTGAACTTTTGATATCACAGGTATGTACGATTCCGTTGGACACTGCTAAAGTTAGGCTTCAACTCCAAAAGTCTGCCATAGCTGGAGATGTTACTCTGCCTAAATATCGAGGACTGTTGGGAACTGTTGGTACCATAGCAAGAGAAGAAGGGCTCCGTTCATTATGGAAAGGTGTTGTACCTGGACTGCATCGTCAATGCCTCTTTGGAGGTCTAAGGATCGGAATGTATGAGCCGGTGGGTTCTCAAAACTACTTTTCGCTTTCTCTAGAAATCGTAGTTACTACTAAGAAAGCTTAACTAATCTGTTTTCATCCAGGTTAAAAACTTGTACGTTGGGAAAGACCATGTAGGTGATGTTCCTTTGAGCAAGAAAATCCTTGCTGGTTTGAC